CGATGAATCAGAATTTAGCGACAATTCAGGATTTAAACAGATAATCATTAAAAGAAATTCCAAATATGTTACATGTGCTTAAACTGAAAAAAAAACAAAGCTATACAACTTCACGAATGTGTATCTCAGTTTATGGAGAGTTAAATGATAACTTTGTTGCACACACAGGTTTGTCAAACTTTTTTCATGCTTAGTAAAGATCGTTTTCCTACTAATTATAAATAATGTTCTAGTTATCATATAAATTAATTACATTGGCTTGGTATTGTGTAGAGAGACTAAGTTTTTCTTTCATTAAATACCTTCTTATGATAGTGCATAAGACTGCTTTAGAACGAAAAGATAATTCTTATTGCAACGTATTTTTTTCTAAAAATTTTCAATTGTTTCTTTATTTTGTTCATCTCTATTAGATTTTTATCGTCTTTTGTCATTTACCGAGCATAAAGATTATTTGATACATGGAATTCAAGACACAATTATCCTGGTGCTCTTTTAGATTGTGGCACCATCAAACTATACTGAAGAAACAATGCTTTACGATTAATTATGCAGCCATTTTGTTTCAGTTTTTAAGATGATAAAATCGACTGTTTTATTACTTATGAATAGTCATTATTCTCACCTTTCAACACGGATAATCAAATATTCAATGGATAATGGAATCTCTCTCGAATACTTATTATCTGATACTACAATGATTGTTCAGCCTAAGACTCTATCAAGGTTTTCTGCAATGAAACTAAGATGGAGAAAACTTCTTTCAAAACGTTACAAAAAAACTAAAGTTTCTGCCACATACTAAGCAAAACTTAGCACTTTTAATAAATTTGAAGGTTGTTACATTGTTAATTTTCTGTTTTGTTTCTTAAGATATCCAAATTTTTCAAAAATCATTTGTTTGCCTGCTAATTGTTCAAGTGATCTTTCAAAACCACCAGTGTATCCTTTTGATTAAGCATGTTATCTCGAAAGAAAAACTTCTTCAGTTAACTTCAGCAAAAGAACGTGATGCATTAAACTCCTAATCGAATACAACTAAAAATATTAATGATAATACATTACCAATTGTTAATAGACTTCGTCTTCATTGATCATTATAATGTTCAAATCTTTTTTCAAACGGTATGAATTAGTAATGTTGTTAAATATCAAAGCTTCACTTTGTAGATCTTTCATTAATTTCCAATAATGATAGTTTCTTGACCACGACTATAGCTATATCATCAAGTACGTGGGTGACATACATTTCTAATTATTTCCGTTGTTGTTTCTGATTGATGTGAATACATCAATGAATTTCATTAAGATGAACAACTAATTTTCTGTCGTCAAATTATTCATAAGCAAATTTTTTAGGTACTATGCACAGCGAACATTGCTATAATAGTCTTATTTTTATTGATTAAAACATTATCTTCATTTGAGTAAAGGCACTAATCATTGAATACTGTATTTTCTGTTTAAAAGTCAAAGATTGTATTTCTAACGCCTTTCTCGCTAGTTTTTCTTCTAACCTTGACGATACAACATCGACAGCCTTCACCACATGGACATTTTCAGCAGAAGCGTGTAAAACATTTTCGTCTGCAATTGACAAATCGTTATCATTTTGTTTGATACTTCTTCGACATTATCTTATGATATGAAAGTAGTGCACTCCCAATCCAACGAGCCTGTATTTATCAGTGAAACGCTCTCTATCAAGTGTATTCCGAACAGACATGAGCACAAAACAGACCGGTGCAATCATCCTGGTATCTTGTTCGATCATGCAGTACAGGGAGAGGGTGTCATTTTTTGTTATGTCCTAGATTCGGCAAGATAGAAAAGAAAAAAATTTCCTACGTTTATGTTTTAACACAGAGAATTATAATTTCTGTAACACGGAAAACTATGTTAAGAAAATCAAAACTATTATAATCTTGACTAAACAGCTTTCTGGCATATACGTCTTACTTTTTATCTATTTCGAATTGACTTTATTCTACACTACGAATGCTTTGTATTATTATGGAAATTTTTATTCTATCAATTGAGTTGATACGAAGAGATAAACATACTTAAACTATACCTAGAATACATGTGTAAAAATGGATGCATGTAAACATAATAATCAAATGTATAAAATTGCAATAAAAAGTCTTTAAAATAAAATAGGTTGTCAATAAAATTACATTGATTACAAGAGCAACACATTTTTCAATAATAGCATCGCGACAGCCGTTTAAAAAAGTTCACAAGATGCTTTTTTCTCGATATAAGCAGGGTAAAGTCAGGTTTAGTAATTGGATAAAATTCTCAAAGAAACAATTTTCATCTAACTAAAGCGAACAAAACTCACTCATAGTTTACTATGCATCATTGAACAAAAAAAATGATAAGCTGCATTTAGAGATATATTTTATATGGATAGATTCGAAAAGAATATACTAAACTGAAATTCTAAATGATTGTAATTTAGTTTCTTTAATTTATATTTCTTTACTCTGTTCGATAAACTATCGACAACAATACCGAATAAATACGATTCGATAGAGAAATATACTCTTGATGCAGCTCAAATTGTTTATCTCGATATTAGAAATTTATCCGAAAAAGATACACAAAATATGATTATTGGAATCAAATTTTCTTCATTTTAATTCTTGATATCTAGCTGGTCACTGCAGTAACTATATGTAGAATGATTATAAAATATAAAGAAATCATCTAATTCATAAAATTTAAAAACAGTTTTCGTAGTAAACTCTACAAACCAGCTATTGACATAAGCATCTGTTTTGTTTTTATTCTTCTGATTCCATAGTATGTAACCTACAAAATAGATAAATTTGGATAAGCCATAGGTAATCCAAATTTGTTTTAGTTAGCTGTTTTTATGCAGATACAGTGAGTGCCTCCTGGATGCGTTGCATGATTTAAATCAATGTTAATGTGCGCTATACACTTAAATGTATATTTTAAATTTTATTACATAACATAGCTAGATAAGAGAATTGAACTTGTGAAATGAGTACTGCAATAGCCATTGCAAGGAACAACGTTAACATTGATTTTTTTTATACATTGATTCTCTATATATCAGTAATATTTGTTGAATAATAGCATGTTTGGTTAAATTCAAAGTTAACTGTATCCTTAAACAAAAACGCTCTTTATTATTAACAAATACTGATGAGATTATTTTAATTCCTAGGCTGTAAGAAGATGTATAGGAAGAGTAATCGAAATTTTATTGTAAACAATGGAATAGAGATCAGAACAAAATAATTATTTTTACTTCAAACTTATATAAGAATTGTGCTTATTTGTGAATTTGGCTGTCTCTTTCGAGGTCAGATTAAGACCAGGACAGAAGTTGAAACCGTGCCGCGTATATCTGATAATAATAAACAATATTTGCATGTACAAATAACGTAAACTTTTAACATAACTATGTAAATATGTCAATGAATATTATTATTATAATATAAAGAATCAGCTAGTACAAAAAAGACTCATTTTGTATCGATTTTTCTCTGCCTTAGTGGTCATTTAAGTGACCAAACTAACATGCAGAAGAAGCCAATTTTTAATTCTCGCGGCAATTATATTAGTGAGTGTTTTCAAACTTCTATGAAAAGTAAAGAGATCAGCCTATCTTTCAGTTAAGAGAAATCGTTACTTCAGTGACAATATAGTTATATTCACTATAGAATAATAGAAACTGTGTTAAGAAATCGAGTTCAATTGTTCATTAGATCATCAGCCAAGTGAGAGGAAGGCAAGAAAAGGAAGCATGACTTCAGTACTTCATGTTTTTTTCTTATGAAATATTGATATTCTTTGCAGTAGTCGATTGGATGTTACAGCATTTGCCAGTAAAAATTGTTAGAATACAAGAGAAATTTACAGAATGCTGAAGAAAACAAAATGCTTCTAAGATAAGAGGTTGTCAGCGTTTTTGTTCTTCATCTACTCAAGACATCATTGTTTTGGCTTTTAATTAATGATCTGTTCGTCAATAGAAGAACACGGTGTATTTGATTGCATAGTCTCTTTCTCGAAAATTTTTATGAACTGACGTTTTGAAATGGAAAAATGTGGATGAAAACTAAGTACGCCCGAACCGGAAGGGACAAGTCAAAGAAAATTTGATTTCTATCGAAATATTTTGTGAAACACGATCTGAAAGGAGTGTTGAAGTGTTCAGGGGCAGAAATTTGCGTCCCCCCACCACAGACCGTGACAGAGAACCTCCGAACCCATCACAGACCGTGACAGAGAGCCTCCGAAATCACAGACCGCGACAGAAAAATCCCAATACCCATCGCAGACCATGACAGGCAGGGCTTTAGACCCATCACAGACTGTAACAGACAGACTCGGAACCCATCACAGACCGCGACAGACAGGCCCGGGACTCATCGCGGACCGTGACAGGCAGGCTCGAAGCCCATCACAGACCATGACAGAGGAACTGTGGTTCTGAAGCATTATATACACGGTTAGCTACAAATGTATCGAAAGATATGGAACAAAACGATTTCCATTTAACTAGTAACAATAGATTCATCGTGTTTCACATTCTTAATCCCGCCAGGTATTGCGCTAACAGCTTTTTTATGTGTAGCCCTCAAAAAAGCCAGTTGATAAATTTCATTCGATAATTTGACCAGATAGTATCTAAAAGAATATGTAAATCTTCTGATAACGTTATTCATATGTAAGGATTTTCCATTTCAACATTTTATTAACAGTATCTTTTCTCTTTATAACGAAATACTGAACTTTTACTAAAAAAAAAACTGTATATTTGATTTATTAGCAATATATAGTATTAGAATACTTCATCTTCCAATTTGAATCATAGAATTTTTCTGATTGTAAATAAAAAACAGAAGAAATTCATATAAGAAGCATTCGCTAAGAATAAAAAAATCCCAAAAATATTTGATATAGATATGTATATTCTTAACAATATCTATTAAGATTTTCTATTATTTAGTTTTTCCGAATCATTTAATTTGTTTTTCAGTCGATTGTTCATTAGTATAACTAGACGGGTTTGTTCGAAGTGAATTTGAATATGTGTGATTAAGTACATCCATCGATGATATACGTGATAAATAACTAGACTGTTGTTCAATATCAACATGTGCAAGTAATTTAAGTGTTTTAATAGCTGGAATTATTTGATCAACTTTTGATACTTCTGGAAGAAAAAAGAGATTTGATAAATTGATAAACAAAAACATAAATTACCAAGTAAATTAGCTAATTCTTCAATAAATTGATGATAATTAGACATATTATTATCATGAAAATGAATTTTTCTCATTGCTCTATATCACAAAGTAATTAAACGACGAAGAGAAATAAAAAAAAAAAAAAAAACTTCTTACTCATTCATATATTTTATTTTGTTTAATTTTTTAAATGTAAACATTTTATCTGATGTCGAATCTTCAATTATCTTTTCTAAAGTTTTAATTAATAATTTGTGATTTTTGTTATTAACACCTAATGTAGTTGAAACAGTACAAATAAAATTATCTAATTCTCCATGTTTCTCATATAAATCAATAAGTGATGTTGATATTTGTTGAAAACATTTTATGTCAAATAATGTTTGATATTGTTCAACAATATTTAGACAATATTGATAACTTGGTTTATGATTAGGATCAATCTAAAATTTATATATTAATGACGAGAGTAATTTTGAAATAAAAGAAAACATTACATGATCTGAACATTTACAAGTAAAATGATTTGTTTTATTAGAATTTATCTAAAGAAATTTATTTATAATAGTGATATTTCAATAAAATTGATGTACTTTAAATGATTCTTTTATTAAATAATTAAATGTTTGTTGTATATATGTTTTCATGTCTTGATGAGAAGGAATTGTTGTTCTTGATTTTGAAGAGTTTGTTGAATGTTGAAGACATAAATGAAATAGTTTATGAATAAACTAAAATTAGACAATCAATTTGTATAGAAATATTTTTCAACTCATCTTCTTAGCATTTATTTTATATATTAAGGGTAAAATCAGTGTTTATCCCATACTTAAAATAAAAGAAATATTCATTATTATTTTTAATACTGTTGAAATCTATTTAAATCATTCAGATTGATCGAAGGACTTTCGGTCGATAGATGTCTTTTTTTATGACGATAATTCTCTATTGAATAAATTCAATTTTTATATTAGATAAAAACAATATTTTATTTTATTAACAGTTTTTCCTATGATAAAATTCTCCAGAGATCTCTGCATAGTGTCAATAGATATTTTATTTTTCCTCTTACACGATGATCGATAGAAAGACTTGGGTACTGTTGAGAACCAATTTGTTTTTGTTGTTGTTGTTCTATGTTGTGTCTATGAAAAACAAAAATTGAGTAAAATTTTAAAATACATAGTTCGAATAACATACAATTTTTCAAATTGTTCTTCCATTGTTTGATTTGTTTTTTGAAGATTATTCATGGTGTCTTGATATAATTCATATTGTTGTTTATACATCTAAAAACAAAAAATTATTATAGTTTTTAAAATAAACATTTACATTTACTAATGCTTTCATTTTATATTTTTCTAATTTTCGTAATTTATCAGAATAAATTGAATTATTGGAATCATTCGTCATCTATGAGAAAAAAATAATAAATTGAAATTTCTAACTAAAATTTATCTTACTTTATTTCTTTTCGTATTATTTGTCATGTTATATGCTTGATCAACATATTTTTCATTTATTTTAATAGTATATTTTAATTGTTGATTAATATCATGAATTTCTTTTCTATGATATTCATTTTAAGAATATATAAAAATAGATACTTTCTTATTCGATACGTACTTAAGATTTTTATTAGATTGGAGTAACTCTTGAATAAGTGTCTTGCCATTTTCAGAAAGTGTTTCATCAAGAATTTTTATTTGATCTTCTATGAGCAAAGAAGATGATGATGATAATGATGATTTTTCCATTGAAATCTCGCGATCATTTATAGTTTGAGGATAACCAAAAGATATAGTACGTTTCAATATCGGTGATCTAGCCATATTCGGATGATTATCTAAAAATTAAATCTTTAATAAGACAAATAAAACACAGATGAACGAAGAATGTTGAAGAATCAAAAAAGTTTTGTTATGCTACATGCGCACAACTTTTATGAAACTTTCAAGTATCATTCGGCTGACTAGAACTACTTCTTATTTAAGTATGTATGTGAGAAAAGAAAATGTCATGTGTACTATCTCGTGTACTTTAAAACTTCTTTCTGTCGGTTACACAGGACTAAAAAATACATATCTACTTTACATAGCTGTCAACATTTGTCCTTGATTGAATGTAAAACGTCGATACCTGTTTCCGTATAAGAATAGTAACTTTTATTTGATTTCATTTTAATCAATAAAGATTAATATTTAATTATTGGTTGATGTACATTTAAAAAGAGACTTAACATGATGATTTGGAATCATGCTGTATGTTATAATCGTATTTCTCTTCTTGTGAATTGTTCAATTATTTATATAAATATATTCTCTCACCGTCGCTTAGAATAAAGAAAAGAAAGAATACTATCGTTTTTTTTTAATTAAAAATGATCAGAGAAACAGTAAATTCATTTTTATTTCTTTTTGATTTAAGTGAGTTATAGATACCTGTCAAAAAGGCGTTAAATTTATTATTTTTCAATATTTTAAATATCTTATGAGGTTTTAATCATGAAAATAGGATATATAAGAGATATTTGATAATGAAATAATCAGACAGTATCTTGTTATTTTTAATGATTTGTGTAACAAATTGTCCTAGCTTCAAAAATTACTCCTATCCTATATGAAATTATCTATTGCCTATCCAAAAATGTTTATTAAATGTCATTTAGAGAACAATATCATTCCTTCTATCGTGTTATTTGATTTAACACGATCGTACGTGATGACCTTTTGCCATCCGATAATTTATGGAATTGAAAGTCATCATCAACATACAATACGTATTAAGTCTTAGAAAAAAAAGCTTGTTAATACAGTTCCATTGGGCTTCATATGTGAAACTCACATGTTTTCTTTCGCTTCGTTATACTAATATAAAATACGCAATGTGTAAAATCTCTAAAAGATAATAGTTCTTTTTCCAATGACTATCGATTGTCGGCAAACTCTGTCTTTTTTATTTCTATTTTTTGAACAGAAACTTTGCTTTCTTTTTGTTTTTGACTGCTGCTCTTTTCTTTAGTTTTCTTGTTGGTATTCGCTCGATATTTATTTTCTTTTTTTTATTATTTCATTTTCATACTTGATTATTCCTGATAGTTAGAACTTAATTAGTTCATGCTTTTTTTGTTGGTCATATGACAGTTGTGGGAAACAGAGCTGCCAGTTTGGCTTGATGCCTGGCAAGCCACCAAGGCTAGGGTGAATTTTGAAATTTTAGTCGAATCTAATCTGCTTATAATAATACTTGATCTAATTATGAGGCTAAGCCAAGCCAAAGTTGGTGACTTGGGTGCAATTTAATACTAATTTTTCCCGTAGTCAACTTGAAACATGAGATGACACCACAAGTTAATAAAGTTGTCCATTAACTTCGTTATTTATAATAGAATTGTGGGTGCGATCGTTTTCTCTTAACCATGTTCACAGACACATCTTCTTGCGAAATTGGATAGTCGAATATAAATTTCCTCCCGTCGTTATCGCCTTCTCTCTCTCTTATTTCCCATATGTTTCTTCTATATTTTCTTGAAGCTTCTCGTTGTTTGCTTTATCATATGTTGTTTTTTATTCATCATGGTTGATTTTTTCCAATTATGCAAAACAGTACTGATATTATCAAAAAGTTGTTTTTATTTCAAGTTTGTATAGTGTGAAAGATATTTATGATGGTTGTCTTTTTGCTTTAATTTTCTATTTTCTCGAAGAACTTGTTACACTATCATCTTCATAGAAATAAATTAAAAAAATAATTAAAAGTGATATCATAAATTAATGCAGAGTCAAAAATATAATGGATCTGAAAAATCCGAAACAATTTATCTGCCTGGCTTGGCCTACAAACTAAGCCAGAAAAGACCGAAAAAAAGTGGTCTGTTAGCAGCTATGATGAGAAATCTAAAAATCATCCTTGATACTGATGCTGTAATTGTTTTACTGCGCAAAAATCAGAAACTGTATTATTTAGAATATTGAAAAATGTATTTCAGTCATTTAAGTTTAAAGAAAAATTCTGGAATGTTCTAAGAAACCTTCTTAGTTTTGTTATTAATGCCATTCAGCGCCTTTTATCCTGGTTACTAGAGTATGTAAAGGAAGGCGAGTCACAAAACTTTGACTTAAAACTTACAATCACTATTTTCTTCGAAAATATATGTGAGTTTCACCATAATATTTACGAAGTACACAAAACTTGAGATTAGTACATATTAATAACATTAGTAAGATCGATCGTTATGTTTATCTTATAAAAAAATGTTTACATCTGTTTTTTGTTTATTAAAATCAGCAGTTAAGGCATATCGAACAAAATTAATTATATGTATGCATATGGTGTCAATTGTCATATTTTCAGCAACTTCTATGATTTTTTTCAGAATTTTTCTATAAAATCCGCTTTATATCTTATCGTCAAATCGAAGCGATCAGACCGAAGGTTGATACCTGTCTAAGAATAAAGGCTAACCCTTGAAAATTATGGTTCTCTTTTCATACAGTTAAAATATATCATATGCTATCAATAGATAAATTCATTGTTTTCAATAAGTCCAATAAATATCGGTAGTCCCTCGTAATAGATCTAGTCATTTTCTTTGTTTATCAGTAGTATTCTTTATTCTTTATATAATATTGCGTATCTCGTCAGAAAATATGCACTGCATATACATATATATCTATGTCTATATAGATAAGAACACGTCAAAAATGCAAAAATCCCTCGTTTGATTTTTATTCATATATCGAACAAAAATCGACAAAATATGCTTGTGAAGGCAAGAAAATGTGTGATGAATCAGCTGTTATCAAGGTAAAAATTTCTCTCGCTTGCTGTTGACGATTCCTACTACCATAAGTAGCCTTTCAAAAACAAAACCTGACTTCAATTTCTTATAGAAATATTTATTTGTTCAAGATGTACTCCTTATATGAACAATAACAATTCATTCGAGGCAAACAATATAGAACACTCCATTGCATAAAAAAATCAAGTGAAAATAAATTTCTCTTTTCAGCGATTATTTTCTGAAATAAGAGATGAAAAAAGTAACACAAACAAAGCATAGACAATATCACGACATAGAAATACAAAATATGATTGTAGGCGAAAGAAAACATTTTTCGAGAGTGCAATTATGATAATAATCAAAAAGCAATGAAGTCTGCTCAGAATTATCTGACACATTATTTTTAATAAAAACTGTTCGATATATATATAAATATATGTTCATTTCTATTTTTGTAAATATGTCACTCTCATGTTTGAAATTTTCACATTGATTGAGGTGATAAATGATTAAGATCTTTTGATGATAAAGTTGTTCCACTTGCTGGCCGCCGAAATTGATCTGCAGTAGTATTTAAGTGTCCTCTGTGTATAGCATTTTTAACAGCATCAGCTAATGATGAAAATGATGCAACTGTTTGAATTGGTTTATTTTGTACTTTATTAGATATATCCGAATCAGTTGATGATTTTGATGTTGAACTAAATAAGGCCGATGCTGAAGAAGTTTTTCCTTGATCAGATAAATGCTTCATATGAGCCAATGGTGTCCAATGTTTTGGTATTTCAGTTGATGAATGGAATACTAAACCAAAAACTTACATATTATTAATTAAACCAATTAAAATAAACAATAATTTACCTGCAAAATCATCGGAAAACATTGAATCATTTTTATGACCTTGATTATTTAAATGAACACTAAACAAGCAAAAAACTAAATAGAGATTTTTGGCAAAATTAATTCTTACCGATAGAAATCAAACTTTCCCGGTTCATTAGGACTTAATGGAAAATCAAAGTCTGTTTCATTAGATTGTGCAGGTGTCTTAATTGGTTGTGATTGACTGGAACTTCTTGATGCCATTCTTGCAAAATTATTTGTTTATCAAGAAAAAAAATTCAGGAAAATAAAGATATTTATTTTATATAAAACGTACTCAAACGTCAAAGTGTAAAATTCTTATATCTTGATTTTTTTTTCTTTCTCTCTCTAACAAAACATCCGTAGCGCTATTATGAATAGACTAGCAAAAAAGAACGACGAACGTTTTTTTTTCCTTTTTTCTTTCGATTCTTCTCACGACATGCTTGCACTCGAACATTGCTTCTCTCCTGCACGTCTGTTCTCTTCTTTCAGTGTAACACCACTGTTTCTTTTTGCTATGACTGCTTCATACAAAAAAAAGTAAAGCTAACTAGAAATCAGACATCGAATTTGAAGAGGTAACTATTGATAGAAAAAAGAAAAAAAAAAGGATAAAAATCAATTAAAATGAATAAGAATAAAGCACTTCAAAACATAAGAAGGATAAATTCACCGTCTTTAATATAGAAAAAAAAAGAAAGAAAAATAAAATCGAATTGCTCATGAATAATTTATTCATAAGCAAAAGAAAAACGAAACTGACGTCATGATGACATATATATATCCTTTACATCATAGCTAACGATATTCTGACGTATATATAAACATACCTTTCGCTCTTCGGTCACGGGAAGCAAACTTATCCGATTGAGCAGATTGGTTCATATAAAACAGCGAAGAAAAAATTATAATAGGGCAAACGTATTTTCCGATAAGTATTTAAAAAAAAGCACAGCTGTTGGAGACGTTTGTTTTTTTTTTTTGAGTCACTTCCTTTCTTTTTCAAAAATATCTACTAATTCAAACAATTCTTTTTTTTTTTTTAAATAACAAAGAAAAAACTTTATTTAATAGTAGAGAGAGATATAAAATCAAGCAAAAAAATATCGAATCATGAACATATAACATTTATAAATGAATATATAAAAGTAAAAACGACGAATGCTATAAATCAAAAAAAGA